CTTTTTTGCTACACATTTATGATTTCTTAATGACTTTAGCAGTTATGATTTGCTATATTTGCATGCCGGCTACTGTTCGCTGCCACATATGTACATATATACAAACGTATGAGTGTATATAAACACATACATATCTACGTACATTAATACATTATACATTGGTAGCTGTGCAATAATTAGTCGAGTAGTGCGTGTGGGGAGATGTGTGGCGCCCCATCTTATAGACGGTTCGTTTACCCGTTGGCGCACACTTCTTTTATGTGAACGAACGTAGCTTTGCAAGTTTCACGATGAGTCAGTACGAATTGCTCGATGCAAACATTAAATTGCATAGAGTTAGTATTGACTCTGTCTTTGAAATGTAATTACAAATTTTGCATTTTACTTTGTACTATTGGCATTTTAAAATGAGCAAATGTTTTAGTGATAAAGCTAACCACTATTTATTTTATTTGCTGATAAATTCTATGGGAAAACCCAAAAGGTCAACGCACTACATAATTTTTTGCTAAAAATTAAATATTTTTTTCATACGAAAACGCACATGCACTGCAGTGTGGAAGCTGACCGAACCCGAGCGTAAAGCTAATCGATGCGAGAAAATAGTTTTGAAGTGTTTTTCGCCGCCGACCCGCCCTGAAGTAGCGCATATACCATATTATATATTCAAAAATTTGCAGATAAACTCTTAAATCTTTATAGAAATGGTAAAATTCATTCATGTAAGTACGAGTATAATACCACTCTGCGGTAATTAAAATCGATTTACGCGGATCGAATTCAGTTTTACTATCAGCTCGGCTTTCAGCGTCTACTCTGCAGGCACCCTAACTGTCCTAACCTATCCTAACCTACGTACACATACATACATATATGCACTTGTTTTGTATCCTGAACAGGGTGTATTATTTAGTTTGCCACGAAGTTTGTAACACGCAAAAGGAATCTTCGGAAAACCTATAAAATATAGATATGTACATACATAGAAATGATCAGCATGACGAACTGAATACATTTAGCCATGCTCGTCCTATATACATACATATACGCAAACTAGTCTCTCAGTTTTTGAGTTATCAATCTGAAATTTTGCATAGGCCTTTTTATGCCCATAAAGCTGCCGGAATATTAACGGTTACCTAGTCCCCGCTTGGATGATAAGTTATAGTTTAGTTGTCGTCGAGGTCATCTAACGGGAGGCCCAAGAAACGAGCTGTTTCGACGGGGTCGGGCCATAGGGAAGCTGTCGGAATCGCCGATATCGGACCATTAGAGCAAATAGCTACTATACAAACTGAGCAACAAAATCACATTTTTGTATGGAAAAATATTTTATTTCTCAAAATATCTTCATTTGGCTTAATTCCAACAAATTTTTCAAATCGGAAAACTACAGCGAACATGCATATATAATATATATATATTAAAACATGTATATACTGTTTCTTCTTGTTTTATTGACATATCGGCATAAAAAATTTATTGTATTTCCATAGGAAATATTCATTTTAGTAATCCTATATTAGATAATATTCGTAATTTTTTATTAGTATAATTTTTTTAATGTTCAAACGTGTTTTCAGTAAGTTACGTCAATCATTATTTAAGCAGTGCTTAGCATTCTCCCTTTTACTTGTGGTTTAAATATGTTTGTCGTTTTGTTTTTCTTTTGTAAGAAATTAGTATTCGCCGGTTTTCACCCATTTCTAGCCACTACAAAAACAATGCACTGTACAAATGTCCTTGCGTAGAATACTTTCAACTTGTTGCACTTGTTGCCTATTACAATGCACAAGTGTATGTGCCATGCGTAAATATATATGCGCATGTACGTAAATACAAAATGTGAAAAAAAATTCCATTTAGTTTTGCATATTCAAGTCAAAAATATGTTTTGTGTAATTTTGCGGCTGCTATTTCTAAACAAAACAATGTATATTTATGAATAAGAATGCATTGACAGCAAAAACTTAACAAAACAAACAAAAATATTGCAGCGTTCTCTCAAAGTTTACGGCGCTCCCAAGCAAAATATCGAATCGTATGTGTTGCAAACAGTATGCAGGGTGGGAGGTGCGGCAACAATCGACAGAGGCAGCAACATTTTTATTCCCTTTTTTGGGTGTTGGACTCAGATAACACACTCTCGCGTTTTATCTTGCGGATACTGTGCGGTGTGTGAGTAAGCAATCACCATAGCAAAAAATAATAATCAACACGCTAGTCGTTCCGTTTGCTCTAACGTACTTAAGGCATTGAAAATGTGCGAATTCCACACGCACACAGTTAAGCGGCAAGAAGCACACATCAGCACACACATACATACTTTGCGTAAAAGTGAAAAAAAAACATATATTAAAATTGCCACAAGGTATTTTCCACCACTCGGGTGTTCCAGCTAGCAATCCTTCAAGTATTTATTTATTGTGCTATTTGGAATCTACTCATTTTGTTATAATTATATTTTTAATTTGTTAGCATTTTTACACTGACAACACAAAAATGACCCATAACAGCACAAATCACGTCAACACTTTGCGCTTGACGCAGAGAATATCTCAAAAAATATATATAAAATACAAAAAAATTGCCGCTCAGCGTTTCACAATCACTCACTTTTTATAGGATTCACTTTGGATTCTTTCAATTTCAATTTTTCTTTCACACAAACGAAATCGCGCACAAAGTTTCCGGTGTAGTATAATAAACTCAAATCGCTTTATTGCAAAGTTGTACAAATTTCATCCGCGTGGAATTTGTTTTGAAAGAATTGAGAACTTTAAAAAAAAAATTTAAGGGGAAAGAAGAAAATCCAACAAGAACGAATGAAGAAAACTCCCGACTGATTACGAATAAAATTTTAACTCACTAATCTGACGACGAATTCCGGTAGACTGGTGAACTGCTAAACTGGCAAACTCGATTTCTCATCAACTGACACAAATCCAACTTACCAAATTTCGGCATAAACACGAACCGACAATTCACCACATACAAAATGTCAAAATAGTGTGTGATAAGAAAACGTCAAAAAATCAGTGATGCCAGACTATACATATAAATTTAGATCCGACAATAAAAACCAAATGCCAAGAGAATTTAAAATTAATTAAAATAGGACGAAAAGTTAGTATTATTTCTATAAGAGGCCTACCTATATGCCAACTAGAGGGCATTTAGTTTTTAGTTATAGCTGATCCGGTGGCAAAATAATGGTATCAAATAAATTGTAAAACAAAAGAATTTCGACATTCAGAGAATGCTCAGCAGAAATATTTATTGAGCACTAATGAAAAGGCTAAGACTTATTTCGTTTTTAACCCGTTTTAAGCGCCTAAAGACAGACATACTTATATTTCGCCCATTGTCCACAATAAACAAATATTTAGTTTTTAAATGACTTCTTATTTCGTATATATTTTACATATGCAATATAAATCGAACATATACATTTGTTATAGCTCATGGTCAACTCTTTTCAATCCACACATCAAAAGCGAGCTGTTTCCAGAAGTTTGCCAGTCTTCGCTAAATAAAGTAGTTCTTGTATTTTTAATTGCAACATCGCTCGTGTATGCGGTTCTCTAACATTAGCCAATTGTAAACCAATACTTTCACCAAACACTTGACACTCGCGCATTTCTGAAGGCGCTAAGCCCATCGGTACGGCTTGCAAATTATTTGGATGAACAATGGTAATGGGTGTTTGATTAAGAAGTGGTGGAACGGCAGATTGTGATGTTTGCGGTTGTAGAGGTGGTGCATGCATTATATTTGGAATGGGCATTGTTGCGGCAGATGTAGACGATATGATGGGATCATTTTGTATGGCATTTACTGAAACTTGGCTCTGAGGTTCTACATCCGTCCCTGTAGTTTCTACACTTATAGCAGTTGGCGGCACACTAATAGACGAGCAGACACGCTTGCGCTGCGGGCGAAAAGATGTATCCGGCTTAACGTTAGCCTGCAGTGGATGATGGAATATAATTGTTTATTTGGTATAAAATTCAAAAATTAAAAGTAGTGTTTATTTTACCATTTCATCATTTGGGTTTGCAAGCGCAATAGCTTCAGGTTTTGAATTTTGACGTTGAATAGCTGTTTTTGACTCGCTAGTGGTTTTTGTATCTAATTGTCTTGTTGGGGATGGGCTAACCGTTTCAGTTTTCATCAAAGACCTTCTGCTTCTTTTTCTGCTATTGACAGCCATAGTATTAGTCTATAAATAAAATATTTTAAAAACTTGCAATTTTTTTCTTAATTTACTCACATTTGCATTAGTTTTAGCATCCTCTATTCCATTTTCTAATGCATTTGCCTTAACATTAACTGCTGATTCGCCAAGTGTCAATTTGGAATCTGTTTCGTTTGCTTCCGACCATATCTCGTCTTCGTTAGTTACCTCGCATACAGATTCACAAAACAATGATGGCACAACACGTTCATGCCCCTCTTGGTATGCATCCAAATCATCAGAAGCTGTTAATGCCTCCTTGAAAATGTCATAATACTCCCACGCTATTAAAGACTGCATTCCACTATCTTCCTTCAATCTATTCTTCTTATAAGTTTGCAGCATATTTCGATATTTCAAATCACAGACTTCCGCAGTTAATGAAAAGTCGCACAAACCTTGACGCCTCATTTCAGTGGCAATCTCAGACCACAGTTCTTTTTTCTGTCTTATACGTTGTTGGAACTCTAGTTGCCTTTCAAAACGCAGTTGCAGCATAACTCGTGTGCATTCTGGTGTCCACCGGGTTTGCGCTTGTGGAGATTGTAGCTCACAATTTTCACCGGTTTCGTTACACTCTGCGGCTTCAGAGTCACCATTTTCTTCGAATTGTGGTTCAGTTTTGTTACGCTTTGATTTCATTTTATATACTTATCTTAAAGTATTTATGTGATCCAGATTTTTGCTATTTTTATGTGTATTAAATCACTTGCGAAAATTCCACAGCCACCATTGATTCCAAAAATTCACGATTTGCTTCAATCAACTTTCGTTCTCTTTTTCCTTTTTCATCAACTGTTGCCAAACAACAGCCAACCTATACAAAAACAACAATAGTAGGCACACCAAAATGCACCACCACTAACCGCAATTGCTTTCAACTGTGTTGCCACCATTTTGGTGAATCTGTCAGCAACGAAACGACAATTGAGCATTGTTTTTCAAAACACCGCACAACCGATTTAGCATATTGGTTTGTTGCAAGGGTAGCGGTTGGATTGGTCAACGATTTGACAAACTCAGCATTGCAACAACTAATATGTATAAAATCGGCGTATAAAACGAGATGACAACAAACCAGGAAAAAACATGTATATACATACAGTGGATCACAGCTTATTTGATACAGCAGTCGATATAAATTTCGAATCCTAATATTTTCTAAATTGAAAGGAATATTGAAAAAATTTAAACGCTATATTATAGAGTAAAGAATTTCATATATATAATCTACTTCATTTATTTCAAAAATATTTTATTTTCAAATATATGTATATAAAATTAGAATTACTGCTTAATTTCAGGTCACAGCTTATTTGATACAGTTCAATTCATTCTAAAATAACATAAACAAATCACTTTCCATCTTAAATTTTAATATTTTGTGTGAAAGCCTTTCGCCTTAACAAGAGCCTGGATCCTGGTTGGCATTGATTGGACTAACTTTTGTGTGGTTTCTGGGGTAATTTTCTGCCATTCCTCTAGTAGCGCCTTTTTCAATTCCTCTTTGTTCGAAATTTTGTGGCTTCGAAGGTTTTTGTCTAATAATGCCCACAAATTTTCAATAACATTCATATCAGGTGACTGTGCCGGGGGTGTCATCAAATGGGGACAGTTCCATATGAGCCAGGATTGAGCGACTGCTGCTTTGTGTTTTGGGTCGTTATCTTGATAAAAGCGGAATTTTTCTTTTATATCAAGATTCTCGGCACTTTGCAGCAAATTCCTTCTTAGGATATTAAGATACATATTTTTGTCCATTGTCCCTTCAATAAACTCCACATTTCCTACACCGGCTGCGGACATACAACCCCAAACCATCACAGTTCCACCGCCATGTTTCACCGTAGCTCTCAAGTTCTCCTTATTTAGCTCTCTATTCTTTTTTCGCCAAGCGTAAGACATGCTGTCGGACCCAAAAATATTGAATTTTGACCCGTCTGAAAATATAACCGTGTTCCAAAAATCATGGGTCTTACAAACATGTTCCCGAGCGAACTTTAGTCGACATAATTCTTTTCTTTTTTTTTTTACTAATTACTCGGCCATTAAAATCATGTTCGCGGAGTACGCGGCGGATAGTTTCAGCATGCATGTTTTTCCTAATTCTTGCTGAACATCTACAACCAATTTTGGAGCCGATAGTTTGGGGTTTACCTTGATTTTTCGAACAATATAGCGCTCGTCGGTAGCACTAAAAATTTTGTTTGGCGCGCTTCTGCCTTTATTTTCCAATCGATTTTCATGTAAATATCGCTCAATGATGTGATGTACAGTGGAGGCACTAAGGTTCACAATTTCACCAATTTTTCGAACCGATTTACAATTTTTAAAATGGTTTATGACCAGTTCACGCTGCTCAATTGTTGTTACTAGAGGAATGGCAGAAAATTACCCCAGAAACCACACAAAAGTTGGTCCAATCAATGCCAACCAGGATCCAGGCTCTTGTTAAGGCGAAAGGCTTCCACACAAAATATTAAAATTTAAGATGGAAAGTGATTTGTTTATGTTATTTTAGAATGAATTGAACTGTATCAAATAAGCTGTGACCTGAAATTAAGCAGTAATTTTAATTTTATATACATATATTTGAAAATGAAATATTTTTGAAATAAATGAAGTAGATTATATATATGAAATTCTTTACTCTATAATATAGCGTTTAAATTTTTCCAATATTCCTTTCAGTTTAGAAAATATTAGGATTCGAAATTTATATCGACTGCTGTATCAAATAAGCTGTGACCCACTGTACATATCCGTGTGTCATAAAAATTACCCAGTAATGAAAAATTGCAATCCGTGTTGGAAAACATGAATTAAGTTTAAGAATTATATTATATTAAATATTTTAAGAAGTTATTTTAGTTTAGTAATTATAAAAAAATTGAGGTTCTTGTAAAATTTCGATAGTTTACAAGTTAAAAAAATGTCTCCCTAAACTGATTTTTCAAAACTCAATTTATGTTCAACATTTTAGCAGTTTTAATGTTGTAACAACTCGGCCGGTATAGTATTGATAAAAAATGATAGAGATTCTACACTTCACTTAAAACTTTGAACTTGTTTTGCTCGAAACTATTTTCTTCGATGTGATCGTCACAATAATTCAAACTTTTACCAGTCGATTTACTTGACATTTGGCGTGAATATTCTTTAAATATCTCTTTATCATATGTTCTCACAAAAACTGTATATATCAAATTTGCAACATTTTTAGAAATTCGAGAAAAATTAAAGTTAACTCGACCTTTATTTTTGAGTAGACGCCATTTTATAAAAATATTTTTGTTTTTACTCATGGATAGAAATCGTGAGGACGAGGTTACGACTTTTTCCCTTTCTACTTCAAGACCGCATAGTGAAAATTATTATTATATTTTCTTTGAAATATATTTTATGTACTCTTGAAATATGAATAAATAAATGAAAAAAAAAATGTATAGTTAATGAATTAATGGTTTCTTTTTATAAAAAAAAACACTCGAAATTCGGACCTCTTAACTAAACGCTTTTAATTTTTTTTTCTCGATATGTCAATAACTTTGCTTGGAGCTTTAGTTATAATATATAAATAAATACGATAAACATTTCGCCGTGAATAGAGACGACTACTGTAATTTTTGTTTTGACTGTAAGTGGACGTGGTCAGGTCTGCGGATTATAGAAAAATAGAGAAAGAGCAATATCATTCGATAATTCTGTTCTTTTAATTGGGTGTACCTCGAAGGACGCTTTCATACTATATACGGTGACTCTTTATTTCTTCAGGTTCCCCATAAAAACTACCACGGGACAAAAATCCTCGATCTGTTATTAGCAGACCACCGATGAAAGGTGTGCTGTGTAAAGTATTTCATTTCACCAGTGCAAGCTAACCTTCATGTATATACTACATACATACATATGAGACCTCAGTAATTAGCAAATTAGTAAAAACATTTTTTTTTTTAATCATATATTTTGCATAATATACCATAATAAAATTTTTGATGAAAATTTTCAATAATTCTTCATAAGTTGTTTGTGTTGCCACGTCATAAATATTAGAATATTCTCTCCAATATGTTCCAATATTATGGAAGTGACTGCTATATGAACAATGTTTGAATTATAAGGACACATAATTTTACAATGGCATGATAGTTATGTATATATATGTGTGTATGTGTGTTTAGGTGTTGCTATAAATGTGTATGTTCAACTATAAATGTCTGTTATGTACATACATACATATATATGTATATAGGGCACTGCAACCTTGTCCTATACTCTGTTCTATAAGTAAAAGCAGTCACTGTCATTTAAGCAATAATAGCTTTTACATTCCCTAGATATGAAGTCGGAAGATCAGCGCTGCAAGAACCATTAAATGTATTGAATAGTTCTCTGATTCTTTTTGCTACGAGTAGAAAATGCCTACTGCTTACAAAAAACCACCGATGTGTTACAAGTAGACACATACAAACTCGTACATATGTATGTTCGCCTAGACACATTTAACACATTTAAAAAATGCATACATATTTACTTACTTACATAGTATATATTTATGTACATATGGTATATGCTTTTCCATACATGCAGTCAAATGAAAAATAAAATATCATAAAATCTAAAAGCCAGCTTTTTATACAATTTCGATTTCTGATCCTCGTGCATTGCGATACGTAGATTTCACTATAAAAGATGCGTCAACTTGTGCACCCAGATCAGTTCCGATTGCAATTTAGGAGTAAACAAATCACTTCTTAACGAATTCTGAACGCTACCGCTACTCAAAGTTCAACGTTTAAAAGGCGTTAATTAATTTATGAATTTGGTGGTAATTAATAGTGTAAACACTTAGTTAAAATATGGGGATTAACACCGGGAAGGTAAAAAAGCACATAAATGTATCAACAATAACAAGACGTCCAATAAAATTTTATATTTTTCGCATAAAGTACCTTTTGACTGTTGGCATCCTCTTGCTTGTTGGCCAATATAAAAGCGTTAATGGATATCCTCAAGCTGCCAAGGCAACTGCGTTGGCAAGCGCAGATGCGGTACGTTGTGTTTCCATATATTCGTTCCGAGAACATTATTCTCTAATATAAATATAAATTATTTAAATTAGCTAACCACTGGCGATGGCGCTGGTGCAGTTGCCGTGGCGTCCGCTGAGGCAGATGCCGATTTAAAGGGATCGGAAACCTTTGGCTTTGGCTACTATCCGGGTGCGATTGGTGGTGGATATGGTCATGGTTTAGGTTATGGCGGCTATGGTTACGGCGGGCGTTGGGGTTATGGCGGCTATCACGGCTATGGAGGGTATGGAGGATATGGTGGATATGGAGGAGGATATGGCGGTGGTTTCTATCGTCGTCCCATCTATCCAGTGTGGGGTTGATAGCCTTATGATATAAATATCTGCTCATCATCAGTATTAAAGGCATCGCTTAACGATTATAGTACTTATGTATACATATATTACAAATATATTCCTCTTCCATTAAAACTTGAAGTAATAAATATTTTAATTTGTACCACTTGAGCGAAGTTTGGGGCATATAGGACATTCATAGGTTTACAGCAATTCAAATACTTCAAAATTATGAAATTTTAGTTTTTATATTCTGAACAGGGTATAGTTTGCCACGAAGTTTGTAACACTGAGAAATAAACTTCGGAGATGCTATAAAGTATATATATAAAGAATCATCGTGGCTAGCTAAGTCGCTTTAGTCATGTGAGTCTGTCCTTTTGTCTGTATATATGCGAAGTAGTCCTTCAGTTTTTGTGATATCGATCTGAACTTTTGCACACATCCATTTTCTTCAAGAAGCTGCCGAGAGGCAGCCAAACTTCTGGCCATCAATTATCTTTGTCATTCTGATCATTTTTACATAGATAACTAGATTGTATTTAGATAATAGGTTTTAAAGTAATAAGTGTGTTCAAACATGTCACGAGTAAAGTTCGAAGCAACATTTGATCGAATTTTGCCTACGCTGTCGCTATTGCAGATTCAGTTTAATTAATGTTTGGTTAGGATTAATTTTTCAACAAATCAATTATCTTTTTTGAGTTAAAAATGAACATGAAGACAAATATACAGATATATATATGAAATATATGCATTTATATGTATTTTTAAGGGGTGTAAATACCGAAGGTCAAACAAACACTGAAAACTTATGCTTCAGTTAGTCAACGACGTGCCGCCCTTCCGTACTTACCGCCCGCATCTTACGAAATTTGTCAAAAGTTATGCCCGTAGTGGCAACGTAGTTGTTCTCTTTTGTTCACATCTGAGCAATGTTGCCATTGCTCGATTCGTATACATGGTTTTGCACACATCTAATTTTTCAATTAAAATTTTTCATAATTTAAAAGATCAAACCTAAAATTCAACTATTAATCTATTTATAAATAATTCTATTCGGCTGTGATTTTGATTTAGTTTAGGAATATTTCAAATGTAATCCAATTTTTTTTTTTAATTACAACAAAATATGGACCTTGGTAACTGGTGTTCAGTTACATTGCCCTCTCATAAGATATGTCGTATCAGCTGATTCGGTCTACGGTTTTGTGTCGGTCAATAACTGAAGCATTAGGCTTAATCATTCTCATCGTCAGGCATTTACGCTTCAATTTCGGCTTCAAAACCAGAAGGAACAACAATTACACCAAACACTGTACGCGTTATCACTATAAACAAATAAAATGTTTTTTTATTGTATTTTGAGGTTTTTTCTCATAAACAACGCGTTTATTATTGCTTGCATTGTTTTTTGAAGATGCACATATTAAAATTCAGTCAAGTAGACGAAAATATAATAATTTTATATCCAATGGGTGAACTTGCATTTCAGTTGATTAACAGTGCCCACTTGGTGGGTGTATACGTATATTTTATGTCGACAAATGTGGGTTGGATCATACTTCCGAAAAAAATTGTTACAGTATCATTTCGGTCTGTCCGTCCATCTATCTGTCTGTATTTACGTCAACTAGTGTCTCTGCTCTTGAGATATCGATCTAGCATTTTGCACACATCCTTTTTTTTACTGGTCGAAAATATTTTTCAGATGGAATCACTATAGCATATAGCTAAAAAACAAACTGAACGTTAAAAATCAAGTTATTGTGTAGAAAACTTTTTTACTTGGCAAGGTATCTTCATGAAATTTGGCATTGGTTATTGTCTAAGGTAATAATACAATATCCTAAGACATTGTTCAGATCAATTCATTATAGCATGACAGCTATATACAAACTGAACGATTAAAACAAAACTCTTGTATTAAATTTTTATTCGAAATTTTCAATAACTGTAATTATTAACTATACATTGGGTATAAAAAGTGCGATTTTTAATTTTTTATATAAAAAAAAAACAGAAAAAATCATTGTTCCCATTTAAATGTAAAATTTCACCTTTGTTGTTTTTATTTTGGCCTTTCGCTGATAACCCACCAAACGTGTTTTCTATTTTTTGTTTATCCCATCAGCTCCTCTACACGAGTATAAAAGCATTAAAAGTTCTTGAAATTTATCCAGTTTTATTGAAAGATTTAATAATTACACAAGTGACTACAATTGTCTAATAGAATAATGGCTAAAATAATGGTAACAATCACGTGCCATTTAAGGATTTAAAAATTATTTACCGTTATATACGTACTTTTCAGATAATCCTCGCTGTTTGCATCGCCTTGACAATGGCGCATCCAAACGGTTATGGTGGCGGTCAAGGTTACGGTGGTAGTCTAGGTGGCGGTCTCGGTGGTGGTTATGGTGGCGGACAAGGCGGCTATGGTGGACAAGGTGGTGGTGGTTATAGTGGCGGACAAGGTGGTTTAGGTGGACACGGTGGTGGTGGTTATGGTGGCAGACAAGGCGGACTTGGTGGTGGCAGCATTGGTGGATATGGTGGTGGCAGTATTGGTGGATATGGTGGTAGCCGTGGAGGATATGGTGGACATTAAAACTTTCGTTTATGTGTACATTTTTAACGCTATAAATTGATTTACGTATTAAAAGTATTCGAAAACTAAAAATAAAAACATTTAAAAAAGATTTTGGAGCTAATTTTTATTGATCATAAAATAGATCAAAGGAATTCTGGTTAATTATACATATTCGCAACAAAAACATAGTTTTTTCCAGAATGATTATGAAAGGACTAAGTTTGCGTGTAACCAAATGTTGAATGCTCTCAGAAATTGTGAGATTATAAGCAGTGTGAAATATTTCTACATTTCTGTAAAAAAAAATTTTTTAAATAAAAAATGCGGCCCTGAAAATAAGTATTCGTATATTGTATTATATATGATGTATCCGTTCATTCGTGCATACCACCATAATCTAATGAATTTTGCTGCCAATCCTACTTTACAAAAAGGTAATGGGTTGAAATTTTCGGATAATAATCTCTGGAAGAGTGAACACAGCCCAATTTTTCACGGACGGATTCGAAAATATAAGAACAACCAAAGTGAACGTAGATATCCATGAATTAAGTTTTTAAAATAAGTTGTTTTTTTTACTTTTCCCGACAAACATTTGTACATGTTTAGAGTTTTTACAATTTGTAAAACTTGGTTATCATAAACGTATTTAACGGCATTTTTTGTTTCTTTATAAACAAAGCATAAAAAGTTAGGCGAAGATATGGTGAGTGAAGGAGAGTTGAGGAAAGATCGGGCAACAATTTTTTGCAGATTTTTTTTCTAACAATTCACTACAACCATCCCTAGGCCGCTGTTTTCTCTCTACGGTCCTGGTAAAATGTACACGATTGTCTTTAAACTTTGGGTGAAGTTGCTCCTCCACTATTTGTAATTACTTGAGCACAGCTGGAGGACACAGCATCTCGAGAGAGTTATATTTTTCCAAGCATTTTTTGCTGGTATCCATATTATTTTAAATATTTTGGTTTGTAGTTCTTTACACATTTTTTCACATTCATCCACAGGTATTCGATTGCATTAAGGTCCGAGTACTGGTAGAGGTACATCGTCCAGAATATTATTAATATAATAAAAAAGGCGTCCATAGTGCTGATGATACTTACTAGAGGTCCAACATCACTCCAAGAAAAGCATCCCCATAACATCACCCAGAGGCCTAAGTGCTTCATAGCATTCGATAGTTTGCTTGAAGGGTAGAATGAAATAAACATTTGTGTAGCTGAGTTCCGAAACGTCAATGTCGATCACCGGAGTAAAACCATTTACTTCTTATACTCTTGCTACAGAGTATAATAGTAATTGTAATTGTATCACCTATATATACATAAATATACGAGTAAATGATCAGAAAGACGAGACGAGCTGAAATCCGGATGTCTGACTGTCCGTCTGTCTGTGTAAGCTGTAACTTGAGTAAAAATTGAGATATCCTAATGAAACTTGGTACACGTGTTCCTTGGCAAAATAAAGTAAAAATAAGTTCGTAGATGGGCGTAATCGGACCACTGCCACGACCACAAAACACAATTATACGAAAATCTATAAAGGGCCATAACTAAGCACTAAATTAAGATATAAAACTTTAATTTGACACAGGGGATCACAGTAACAAGAGGCACTTGTAAGCAAAAATTAAAATAAATAAATAAAAATCTCCTAAACAACTTAAGGTACAACAACCAAATTTGCTGAAGCCCAATCCCTTAAGCACCCCTACCGACACTGTAAAAATGGATGGAATTAATTTCTTTCTTTGTTTTTATAGTTTTGTAGCACAATAGTTGCATTGCTGGAATTATAGCAACTAATATTTTTTCCAATAATGTCGGTTTGCCAGCATAGCTATGTACATCTTGCAGATACCGAGGTATACGTGCGCCAAGGTTCACCAGTTTTTACTCAAGTTATTCGTTACTCGCACAAACGTAAAGTCGACAGGCATAGACTACATAGACTTCTGGAAATAAGTTCTTAACGTCCTTCTGATTATTCTGATATATATAACTAGATATCTATGTGGATAATAGTTTTAAAAGGAGTTACTGTATTCAAATGCATACCTATGTATGTATGTAACAAGCAAATCTTCAACCATTAAACATTTTAGCGAATGATATTATTTTGTTGCTCTAGCAGATTCAGTTTAATCAAAGTAAAGCTAGGTTTAATTTTTTCTGAGATTATATTTTTCTTAATTGAAATATGAACATAAAAACAAATATTACAAATATATATTTTTTTAAGGCGTGTAAAACCCGAAGGTCAAACACCGAAAATTGAGGCTTAATCATTAACATTGTCTGGAATTTTCGCTGCATTTATTCATACGGCTTCAATACCACAATTACAACAACAGTTACAGCAAACATAGTTTCGAGTTATCATTATAAACAAATACAGTATCCCCCGCTTAACTGACCCCCCGGTTAACTAACTCGCGGTTAATCGATTTTCTCGCTTATTTGAATCACTTGATCGGTCAAAAATATATTGCATACAAAATACGTGTTCATTTTCCCCCTCAATTAAATCCGGTTAATTTGTTTTACCGCATGATTGGTTAAAAATATGCGTTATTCAAAAAAAAATATACCTTTAATTTCCCCCGATTAATTGTACAAAACGCTTTCGTTGAAAAAAATAATCTGGCATTGTCGCACATACGTATCTCGCAGCACTTGTGATTCGTAGCATTGGTTAAGATATTTTGGATGGTGCTGATATTGAGGAACAAAAAAAAGAATATGATCCTCCAAAGCCTCCGTCAATTCTCAAAGTTTTAAAATATATACAGAGGACTAACTTCAACCATATTTTTATTCAAATAACAAGTTTTTGTGTGAAGTAGGGAATATGGAACCGCATGTATTTCACGTAAAATGAACAATATACAAAAAAAAAAAAATACAGACTTCTCAACTTAACATTTTAAAAATGTAAACAACGATCTCTAAATATATGTATCCTGCATATATACAATAATATGCATTTTTTTGTACATTAAGTTTATTTTATTTTTTTTTTAACAATAATATATATATGCATTACTTTTTACTTTTCCGTTTAAAGTTAAAAATATTATTTTAATATCATTACTAAAAACTAAATAACTACTTAAAGTGCAGATATGACTTTTTTAATTGATTCGGTTGTATAATTAAGCGGGTTTCCTGAAAACTTGTATCGGTTAATTGATTCCCCGGTTAATTGAATCAAAAATGGTACAATTTTTTAAGTGCAATTATCCGGGCGATACTGTACTACATGTTTTGATTAAATGTTGATTTGTGATAATATACCAAGTGTTTTGGTCTTCAGTTCATCCTATCAACTCCGGCACACAAGTATAAAAGCACCAAAAGTTCTTGAAATTTATTCAGTTTCATTGAAAGATTTAGTAATTACACAAGTGACTACAATTGTCTAATAGAACAATGGCTAAAATAATGGTAACAATCACGTGCCATTTTAATATTTATAAATTATTTACCGTTATATACCTACTTTTCAGATAATCCTCGCTGTTTGTGTCGCCTTGACAATGGCACATTCAAACGGTTATGGTGGCGGTCGAGAAAGTTACGGTCAAGGTGGTTATGGTGGGGGTCATGGTGGTGATGGTATTAGTGCTGGACATGGTGGGTTAAGAGGTGGTCACGGTGGTCTTGAAGGCCGTCATGGTGGTTATGGAGATAGTGGTATTAGTGGCGGCCATGATGGTCTTGGAGGCGGTCATGGGGGTTACGGAGATGGTGGTATTAGTGGCGGCCTTGGTGGTCACGGGCGTGGAGGTACTAATAACGGACATGGTGGTTTAGGAGGTGTTCACGGTGATGGTGAAGTTAGTGGCGGACTTGGCAATAGAATACAGTTCGGCTACGGTGGGCAGAGAGGCTATGGTGGACAAGGCGGATATGGTGGGCAAGGCGGATATGGTGGACAAGGCGGATATGGTGGACAAGGCGGATATGGTGCTAGCGGCCATGGTAGACAATTTGGCGGTGGTTATTAAAACTTTCGCTTATATAAAAATATTTAACGCCATAAATTATTTCACGCATTAAAAGTATTGAAAAAGAAAAAAATAAAAACAGTTACAAAAGAATTTGGAGCTAATTTTTATTGATCATAAATAGAACAATCAATTTATGAAATACTCATATAACTTATTTGAAAACGCGACTACATCGGTTTTACAAAACGTTAAAAACGATATATGCTCCTCCCCTCTATGCTCAATTTAAGTTATGTGGTTTGAATGATAACAGGTTTATAGTATCTTGTATATTTTTGAAAAATAATACTGTGTGGGTGTGTAAATGTTCCGATTCTGTTCGTCTACAATATCACTATCAAACATCTTTAGGATGTCGAGGCCTTTCGGTACATCGGTATTTTTACTTAAATTCTCTCTTAACCTGAACATTCTAATATTGATAAATCTATATGTATGTATTTGTCTAGATTTTTAATGTTAATAGAATATACAAGCGTACATTAAATGTGTTGGCCAAACCTAAGGCACCCTTATTCTTTTAATATATTGGAGTTTCGTTAGCCGTAACTTGATGTGTTCAATTATAATAAAACAATATAATTGTTATTATTTTCTTTCTATTTTAAACGTCTTAGTACAAACGAAAATTCATACTACCCTGTTTATAACCATGTAAACGAATATACAGTAGGGATATCTGAATATCCATATACTCGTATATCGACAGTCCTCTACTATACTTTTAACGCAAAATATATTTATATTATGTAATCAATAGTTATAAAATGTGTTAATTAGAGGCACAGGGAGTATTATTTAGTTCCTAAAGTGCGCAATCAAAATTATATATATTTACCTCAAGTTGTCATATGTAATAACGAATAATTGGCAGCTCTAGGTTTCACTTTGACAAACAGCTGATATCTTTCGACCAAAACAAATCGATTATTAAGTCGCGTTATTCTGGTTTTTTTCCAATCAGCCATAAATACGTAGATTTGCATTGAATAATAGTTGAAAATGAAATAAAGTTATTTATTTTAATTATTAACAAAACATCTGTGTGTCGAACTGGTGTGGCATACAGTGTTCATCATGGCCATGTTGACGCGTCGTACCTCACCCGGCTCACCAAAAGCTTTACAACGTTTTCAAAACTGCATATCCTTCCTCTGGCCATCATTGCATTCAGGAACAACTCCAGACAATAGAATACAGCGTAAGTCCACCCAATTGGACACAATTGATTGTTTAACCAATGAACTAGTGAGTCGCAACTCAAAGAAATGGGATGAATTGCGAGACACGCTTATTAAGAAAACCAACAAAAGTGATTTAAGTGCACACAACTTAAGTGATCACAACGATATGATATCTACTAGTTTCGGTCAGAATGTGAATATGTTGTCCAAAGGTGTTGTAAGCGATTTACAAGCTATTCGTTCACCACAACTGGGGCTAGACATACGCTCTTTGTCTCAAGCACAACTGGACAATTTATTATTATCAACAGTGGAAATAAAAAATAAACCAGATTTTCTATACCTAATAAGACAATGCTTACGTCACAAGCAGCTACCATCGAATGAAGTACTATTGGCTTGCCTGAAATACCTCATGCAATTGTGTCGTTTGCAACAGATTGACTCATTGGCAGATTTGTGTAAACTACATGAACATCCACTTGTTAAAACCTATGCCAATTTCGCACCGTTCAAAGCAATGGCACTGTGGCGCAGTGGAAGTGCAGATATAGCTTTAATGACATTGCATCGTGGCTATGGGGACTGTATGGAAACGGATGAAGGCAGACGAATGACGCGTAATGTATTTCGTACTATTGTTGAGGAGACATTAGTGCAAAAGAGCGATGCAGTCTTAGTTTCACTAATACAAGTGGCACGCTCAATATATAAAGAAAAAAAAGATATTTTTGTTGTCGCCTGTGTGTGGAAACAGTGTTTCGCTAGTGAATGGTTCTGTGACCAAAAAACCGCAGCGGACCTTTATGAACATTGCAAAGAGCTACAATTACTTGTCGCCCGACGGTAAGCTTTGATGTATATGTACGATACGAGTTAATAACATAATTATTTTCATTCATAGTTCAAGTTCTCTTTGTTCATCATTTTTACGTGCGAATAATGTTGATGCTGTACATCGGCTAATTGAAGCGTTTTTGCAAAAAGATCAACGAGAAGCTTGTGCAAATTGTCTGGGTCAATTGTTTAATCACCAATGTGAGTATTAATTGAGATTTTTTTTTTTTAGAAAATATTGAACTCAAAACGTTTTAATTTTAAAGATTTGCGGAGTGATTTAAGAGCTTGTGCTGAGATCATTAAGTCCTGTAGCGAACTAGGAATGCCGCTAAGCGCAGTTCAAAATGAACAATTTTTAAGTTTGTTCCTCAATCAGCCGGCAACAACTGCCGCACGCAATGTGGGTCATCTATCAAAACCAATTAAGGAGTTTCAGTATAAATTCTAAAATATCGCGAATTAAAATATACCTACAGGTTATACGTTTTTTTTTTAGTTTCCTGTGAAACTTTTTAAAGTAAGTGAAACTTATGTAATATTTGTTGTTAAATAGCGAAATGATTTACTTTACACCTGACGAAAATTCGTAAACTTGCACTAACAATTAATGGTTCACTATTCAAAGTTCTAAATAAAGCAATAAACAGTTCAATATTATTAAGTAATATTTATAACTAATGCCTTAATATATCTTAAAAATATTATATTAGACGTTGATGAATTATATAGTTAAATTAATGTCATATGCTATGTGTTGGGTAGATCCCAAATTTCCATATAATCATAGAGATGTGCTATCAAATGAAGGTAGCTTAGTGCCCTTAAGCACTGCTGACAATGCGTACATGTTTGATATTTCGTACAAATGGCACATCGTTTACGTCGACACATTCTTTTTTTCTAGCCAGAATTTTTTTTTTTTTTTTAACTTTTTTCGATCTATTCACTGTTTTTCGCAAATCTGTACTATTGTCAAAATTATTTCCTAGCACAACTCTCAGACAAGGTAACATTGCGATTGCTTCACTTAATATCCGTTACTAAATGAAGTAATTTTTTTTCTCGTGCTTCCTTAGAGTCTATTTTGAAGTGAATCTTAAACATTTTGTCAAAATTCAAAACGTTTCCTCGTTATGTAGGCTGGAAATATTTGTCGATAACAATCAGCTGATATGTGGTTCGACTGTTATTATCGACTTTTTAATCATTTCATTTCCCTCTTTTATTTCCGTTTCCACATTATGAGCAAACCCGCCACAAATTATCGGTTCTTTCCTTGCAGAAAGTAATTCGAATTTTTAATTTAATGATTTTAATATCGTGAAGTCTTTACTAAAAAATTAACATTTTATTCAAGACCATATAATTTAAATATTGGGTTGAGACATATGAACTGCATTTACCACACCTTTGTTATTAAGTAATGTAAATATTTCTGTTTCTTGTTTTTTTGTTTTGACACATATGCTTCTATATTTATATAAAATTCATTTCTACGCGTCCACTTTAAGTTGAAACTTATTTATTAAAAATAATACTGCAATTACTATATATTAAGGGTTGTTGTCATTCTGTTCTTCCTCATTATCGCTTTCACTAATTACTGTCTCTGATATGTCTGCCTCTGCAGTTGCATTCGTTTCCGGGACCCCTGTGCAATCGCGACAACGCAGTATAAAATGTTTTTGGCAAAGCGGGCGTAGGCACTGTTGGCACCGCGTTTTTGTTTTTCTCGAATTTTTACTGGGACACTTTCGACAACTCAAACGACTTTGCAAGTTTTTCGGAAATAATTTGATACCGTCAGGTATTTTCATTTTGTCTGTTTGTAAAAAGATAAAGTTAGTTTCTCCATGTGCTTCGCTTTTGATGCTGGCGAATAGTTGCTCGGTTGGCTCACCCAAGATTTCGGAGATTTGTACTTTTTGCGGCAATGTTAAACGATTCGAATTAAGTTGACGTTTAAGTTGTTGTTGTGTTAGATATAGACCGAGATGGCGTTGGAAGTTTCTTTGTTTTATGCTTTTATCACCATTCGATGAAAGCACAAAAAGTATCCATGAATTTACTGCGGCATAGTCAAGCATGTTTTGAAAAAAATTAGCTGGGGAAAGCATTTCATTCTGTGGTATTGTATGTCGCGTAGAGTATATACAGCATGCTTTGTTGTAAGTCCTGCATGCATTAAAGCTTAAGTTGTATAAACGTTCAACTTTTATAGTTTTAGGAATGCCACTGGCCAAAAATATCCCTGGACTAGTCTCACTTGGTATTAATGTGATCTGATCTGAGTATAGCCTTCGCCAAGTATCTTTAGACGCGCGATCTGCTGGCAACTCCAAAGCATTGTTTGGCAAGATGCCCACTACAGACAGGTCAATTTCCATCAGTTTATTCGTTAGTTCTATGCTAATAAATTTTGGCGTAAGTACTATATTCCGTTTGCTTCCTTTTATGTCGGATACCAGTCGTAGGACGTCACGTTCCGTATAACCACCTTTAGGGTGCAGAATCGCATTGCACATATAAAGCGTCTTTGCATCGCATAACGTCAATAATTGCGAATCATTCCTTGAATTTGTCAAATTAATCAACACTTCGTCAACGGTACAATTACCACTTGGTGCATAATATGAACGACAGTTTACTAAAAACTTATTCCATATATCCAACATTGCCCGTGAATTATGTTTCTTTCCTTTTACGTCATTTTCTCCAAAGCGTAAGCATTCGTATATAAATTTAAATCTTTTCAGAGGCATTGTGGCGCGAAATACAGCATTTCCTAACTCCAGTGACCATAATTCGTCCAAGGGTCCATTATGTGTAGCATTACGAAATATACCACAAAGATAATTGAGGCCTATCCATGCTCGCAGCTCTACCGCATCGATTAACCGTTGATGTGGTAATTTTATTCTCCTTTGCTTTATCTCTATGTTGGTGTAGTGCACAACTTGAGAGATGATTTGTTCATCGACAAGTAAACTCCACATTTCTAGTATACTGTTTATTGTATGTGCGGGCCCTTTACCTTTAGGTTGCAGCAATTGTAGTGCAGATTGAAAACTATTATTGTCAGATCCATTCGTTCTTACCGTACTCCATAAATACCCATTACGGGCTTTTAACTCATCTTGGCGTCGTTTTCTTTTGTTAAGTGGACTTGTTGCATTTTTTTCATTATCATCATCACTTTCATCGGATTTTAGTATGTCAGCATCCTGATATGTATATGTGTAGTAATTTTGTGAAGTAATTTCCACATTATTAAATAAAGGGTCAATGCAATTTTCGGATTCTTCCTTGAAACCCGCACATCTTGGATTTACATCAACCAGCGTATCAAATTCTGTTGTACTTGCAGGAACAGAATTCAAAACTTTCAGTAATGAAACGCTATGCTGATCGCATTCATCCTCTTCCGAATCATTTGAACGTTTTATGTTAGACAGCACCTTTGATGAAATGCTCATAATTGCTGACCTGATACCTGATAGTTATAGCATTTTGCTTAAAACATATTTCATATCAATTGAATTAACTTACAAAATATAATGGGTTAATAGGTATCCAGGGTTGCAATAGTGTTGACTCAAGCTCCAATTTGTGCTTGAATTTCATAAGAACAAATTCGATTACTATCAACACAAATGATGGGCGAAACGCGCCTTAAATCTTGTTCCGCGAAATTCTAGAGTTATGCCGAAATCAAAATATGAGTAAAATTTGGCAGAATTATAAATTTCACAGCCCTATAGAAAGTGCTTAGCAAAACAAATGAATAACTGCACCTACGTCTTTCACAATTCTTTATCTACGAATTCGTTGTTAAAACGGAATTGTAAAGGCGCAAAAGCGAATTGAATTCTGCCTTCGTTCGCTGCTTCGGCTGTCAAATCGGCTCTAGCTAGATGTTCGTTTCGTCTACTTTTTGATAGCATTTTGGGTATTGAATGGAATGGTTTGTTGTATGGTTAACGACATCGGTGAAAAACTGTGAAAATTCCGCGATCATATAAATCGAAATTACAAATAAATTTTAAAAGTGATCTAGAAAATTCAACACCTAAAATAGTTGTTTTGTGTATACACAATAACAAAATTTGTGCGTTGAAAATGTCAAATTGACATTTTTGACTAGTTGACGGACAAAACTTCATTTTTTCTGCTTTGTGAAAATTATCGGTATTTCGCTGTGTCTACTGCTTCTATTTGACATTCAACGACATTTGAGGTATGAAATATAGATATTGGTGATGTCAACGTAGCGCCTATGGACCTTTAAAAAAGCTCATACATTGACTAAATAAATTAAACAATACAGTTTCAAGTTTTTGGATACAAAGAGGCAAATATTGGAACATCGAAATTTTGTACTGTACATAGATGCGGCCATCTTGCGCAGAAGTTTGGCGATCGTATACCTCGCTTCTGACCTATTTTTTTGTATATAATTAAATCGTATAACTTAACCGAATATGACTATTCCTACATTAAAACATGTGGATCTGATTGGTGCGGTGATTTTTTAGCGGAAGAACATTTTCTTTAACTATCACACCATACCTTCCAAAACCCACTGGGTAATCCTTGACTGGGTGGTAGAACATTTTATATTTACATATGTATTTCTTCACATATTGCATTCATTTATTTAAGATATTTCAATGACATTTCCTTCCGATTGCATTTTTCTATGTCACTTTCTCACCAATTATTTTGTTTCCGCCATTTTGACAAAAGAAACCAAAGATTTATTATTTCTCTTCTGCCAATTCTATTTTCGTTGAAACAACACGAAAAGAGGTTCAACAAACGAAAGTATATCTGCTGCATTCACTCTTTAAGTTGCAATGGTGTAAAACGTCGTGGAGAACAATAAATGATAACTGTCAAACGCGTGCTTCATATTTCGTGGCGTTCAAGTTTATTAAAGAAAAAAAGTTTGAAGTTTAATTAGTCAAAAATAGCAGTAGAAATTGACGTTTTGTTGATTTTGTACACAAATGCATGTCAAAAGCCACTGGAGCCGGCAAACTACTGTATGAGGAAAACGCAAGTCTAGCGCTAACTAGGAAAACTATTGGAAGCATCCAAGCAACTGCTGACTTGCGTTCCCTAAGGCAACTTAGTTAAAAAATTGATTTTAGAAAAACGCTTAAATCGTATTTAGAAGACAAAATCACTTGCATACATACATCAAATAATAAGCAGACGTTTGGCGGCATATTTTAATTTTGACTCTGAATATTTCAACTTTTGAATTTTGTAAGACTTTCATTTTTTTAACTAACGAATTAAATATATAATAGAGCATATTTCATGAATCCAATTGGTTACGCGAGTTGTATTAGAGAAGATTTCAAAATTAGATTTCGTTTTTGTATAATTTTCAGATTACACGTTGGGCCGCTCCAACAGACGTTAGCAGAAGATTGCTAATATAAATGATTCTGTAGCATCGATTGTGCTAGTTGTAAGAGGAAACAGTCTCAATTTCGAAGATTCAAAATGCTTTCACCGGACACACTGCATCACGAAGAAGTTAATTTGGCGTTAGACCGACAAGTTCGCCAAGACATACAGGATATGGCGCAAGAGGCGCAGATACAAGCACAGATTATAGCGCACGAAGGTAAAAAAATCTTAAAATTGTATGTTTTTAATAAATATACTGTGTTGTTATGCTACCAAAAACGCTTTGCGTCGATATTTAAGGCTTTTTGTGAAAGACAGTTGCGTTGACAATAGCTTAGAATGGAATGACAGACCGGGGGCACTTGACATCGCCATGCCGGCATGTCAAAATAAATAATTTGACAAGGGAATGTCACTTGCATGTGAAATTATAAAAAAGTTATTTACTTTACACACTTTGTATGCACACACTTTAAGGTATTGATTTTGATTGATGCTTATGAAAATACTCAATATTAGTTGAATAACTTTTGTCTTAAGCGGCATCAAGTGGGTGCTACGAATTAACGCTAATCGTATAATCGCACGTAACCATTGGTTTATATCTTTATTTGTAGCGCGTGATCGATTTCAATCTACATCGAGCGTTGAGGAAGATGGCCAAGAAGATATTGAACATGACGGTGTCACTGTTTTGGGTGTTGTTGAAGCCGATGATGATGAGGACGTACATCATCATGAAAGTATTGTTGAAGAGGATTTGACCGAGCACGATTTGTCTGACATGCAAGATGTCAAAGATTTCAAGGATATGTTAATGGAATCCAATGATGGCAATGCGGACAATTCATTAATGCGCAAGCGACGCGGCAACCTGCCGAAACAATCTGTTAAGATCTTAAAACGTTGGTTGTATGAACATCGCTACAATGCATACCCCAGCGATGCAGAAAAGTTTACACTATCGCAGGAAGCTAATTTGACGGTGCTGCAGGTGTGTTGTTTAATTCGATATTTATTGTAAAATATATTTGTTAACTTTTGATTTACTAAATTAAAGGTTTGCAATTGGTTTATCAACGCCCGTAGGCGCATACTACCCGAAATGATACGCCGAGAGGGCAATGACCCCTTACACTTCACGATTTCAAGGCGCGGCAAAAAGCTGAACTCATCATTAAACTCGTCAAATAGTTTAAATGCAAGTGGAATTGTACCAAATCCTATTACTGGCAGTCCAGCCTCGGAAGTGGTAAGCACATTTAATATACACGTAAAAATTTATTTTAAAATATTTATTTTTTGCTTGTTGTTTTGTTTTTTGTTTTAGATCGTTGGCGCGACGGAGGAAGTTGAGGGCGATGAGGTGCATGATGGCGTCGCAAATGTACTAACGGCGTTAGGGCATTTCGTGCAAACGCCGGGCGGCCACATGGTCAAAGTAGAACCAGACATGGAGTACGATGATAGTGTAATTTATAGGTATGTCGAAAATGATAGGAAGTATTCCTGGCAACTTAATTTTAATTTATGGCTTTTTTGTTTAAATATCATATATTTATTTTGCTCTTGTTAAATTCATTTATTAATCACTTAATATTGCATTTATTTCGCCGTCAATCAATCAATCAAACAATCGAATAAATTGAACTGCCTTCAAAACCATGCGAAAAGGTGGCAGCAGGCGATTGCTGCCAATCCTCAAGGTTTTCAAAATTTGCATCCACAAATTCAAGCGAAAATTTTGGCAAAAATTCAAGCCGCTAAACAAAGGCAAGCAGCCGCTAATGCAGCTGCCGCCGCCGCCGCTGCTGCTGCACAAATGCAACAGCCTTTATACAATACTAGCGCGAGTGTTATGCAAAATCCAGATATTGCTGCTGTTGCAGGTTTGCCAGCTTCTCCGCCATCTTCAATCAACTCTTCTGCGGCGGCACATTCTCAGTATCCGCACAGTACGAAATACTTCTATTCACAAACACTCAATCAAATTTTCCACATCCAGAATAGTATGCCGCAAACAAAGAATTCATATTTCAATGCGTTGAGGTAGTCGGGCAATGGCTTGTATTTTAAATGCTTTGCTTTTGTTTTTATTACAATTGTATAGTTTGTCGCTGTTTGTCGGGTTGATGCACTATCATAATTTAATGTAATTTTATTTGAAGTATTAGCGATTGTTTTTATAATAGCGAATTATATCTCGCTTTGATTGTTCTTTTGCGAATAAAAGCAAAAAATTCTTTTTTAATAATAACGTGTATTTATTTTCTTACAGATCGGAAGATGACAGCGTCAACGAGTACGATTCGTGCGAGCCGCAAAGTGAGGAGGAAGGGAAATTTGAAAGCTCGGACGCTTGGCAAAGCGTTATGAAGTAAGTTTTGACAATGCGAATAAAGCATTTAACTACACCTCTTTCGAACAGCTCAGTAGTCAAGTAATCGTAGCTCTCTGGTATATGCATATGTGCAAAAGTTGGATTTGAAAACATTATACTTTTTTTAATGTATTTATTAAAACATTATTTTTTTTTGCTTATTTGTTATACAAAAAAAAGGTGTAGTTATTTGACCAGTATGAATTATTTTCTCTTTTACTATTATACTTCTTTGAAAATTTCTTTCTATTTTTTTGTGCTCAATATGTTTTTCGAAATTTCCGATTTTTACACGTATTTTTTGGTCTACAACCCATATCTATTGCCTGCCTGGAACTTTTCAAAATTATTCCAATAACAATACCAACACCATCACCACTGCCACTGCGATTGTACCACTACTAAAACGAACACATATTACCTATATAAACGTAAAACAACACACGGAAAAACAACAACAACAACAATATTTTTGTTAATCTCTTCGCCACGTGTGTTTGTACGTTGTTCATCAAAAAAAAAAAAAAAAAAAAAAACCCTACCCATCTCTTCGTTGCTTCGCTCATACCGCTTCATTTTGGTTATCTGTGACTTCATTGTCTGTCACTGTCCCGAAATGAATGCGTACACTTATTTCGTCTATTGAACGTTTCTTTTACGGGACTGTTTTCAGTACCGAGGAAGTAACGACCTCTAGTCCAACCGCAACGAATAATACCTATTGGACGACGGCATCACATCCGCACACGACGACGGCGCAATCTCATGCAATAGGTGTTACTGGCGCAACAACAACAGGTACCATACTGCGTATAAACAACGCCTACTTGTTGTATAGTCTTATGTAAATAAAAATTTTTTTTTGTCCTTTCCACAGGCAACAATGTGATAGCGGCTGCCAATGTGAATGCACTGGTAAGCCCAGTCGAGTGCAAACCTGAACCGGGCGTGACAGTGGGCGCCGAAGCAACGGTTGTTACATCGGGCGTCTCAAATGCGTCTAACAGTAATAATAATAGCGCAAATGCAACAAATAATAATACAATTACATCAACCGTACAGGTCATACATCCTGGCAGTCATCTGGTGAAAGGTTTGTGTGCATTTTTGTTCTCACAAAAAATCCGAAAATAGTTTAATACTATCATGAAAATTAATTTGCTTTGCAGGTGTTATACGCGACGATAAAGATAAATTCAAATGTTTGTACCTGCTGGTGGAGACGGCAGTGGCCGTGCGCCAACGTGAAAAGGAGCAAGAAGACGAAGATGTACATGTGCTGGGAAATTAGTTAGCCGACCACCACATCAACATGCAATTAACAATAAAACAAAACGAAGAAATTCACACATCCACGAACTGTTTGCAGTGATGTGTCTTTTGTATAGTGTCTAAAATGTGAATTTAAGCCTTGCGTGTCAACAGTTTTATTTATGCTGAATTTCTGATAGCTCATTGGTGTCTGAGCAAGAATAACACTTCTAAGCACTAGTTAGTACCATACATTTTGCGCAATAATCGGTTACATTTCAAATATTTGCTACTTGCTGCTAATGTACCATATTTAATTTTCATGCAATCATATTAGTTTTCTCAATTTAATTTCGCAACTACAATATTTACATAATTTGTCAATGGTTTACATGAATTACATTAAACGCGTATTATCAGTTTCTAATAATTAAGTTTTTTTTTTATATTTGGTTGCAGATGCTTATATATTTACAGCTTATCAAATGAAAATACGCCAATTTACCAAATGACTACTAATAATATTATAATAAATAATTTTGCCCGTACATTACCTCTTTTTCTATTTTCTCAAAAGTGCGTTAGACAAATTTACAATAATTTTCATAATAACATGCCGTAAGTGATTGTCTAACTAATTACTATCTTCTCTACGCGCTGCAGCAAGTTCTTGAATTAATTTTCTTTTTAATAAATTTTTTTTTTTAATTTAATTTTTTTTAATTTAATTTTTTTTAATTTAATTTTTTTTAAATTTAATTTTTTTTATTGCAAGTCTATAACAATACACTCGCGCACATTTCTGTGTTGTATGGCATGGAAACGAATATTTTAAATTGTCTGTTTATTAAATCTCACGTAATATTTTTTTATATTACCTCCGTTTGTAAAGTAAACAAAGAACAGCTGAAAGGTCACTGGAGAGTTGTTATAATGTATGGTATTTGCCGTTACTGTCACATTGCATCATTCAAAACTGTCAAAAATAAATTATGCATAACTATTGAACAGTTGAATTGATTATGAGTATGAAGAAATATAATATAAATCAGATCCTTAAATTATTATTTTCTTTATTGAGTTTCGCCATATTTCTCAAAAAGCCATCAGATATGTGTAAAACAATTTTTTTAATCTTTTTTTAGTACATTTCTGCTTATCGTCTTGTTTTAATTTAAGAAATATCTTTTACTTTGCTGATGCAGTGTGGCGAACAGCTGTTTCAAATTAAAAAGAATTTAATTTAAATTTACAAAAAAAAAATCAAATATAATTTAAAAAAATTATAAACTTTAATTTAAAAAATGTCAAATTAAATTAACAAAAAAATTTTCAAGTTTAATTTTCCAATAAAAAAAATTATTAAATTTAATTTTACAAAAAAAAAAATTAAATGCGTGAATGTTGCATATTTCAAAGTTTTTACTTACAAAAATAGTTGATAGGCATTTTACTTAAGCGCGTTGTACACATGTAAATTAATTAAAACAGAACAGAAAAAACTTGTAAACGTAAATCGAAATGCGTAACTTATTATTGGTTCATTTCGCTAATTGGAAAAATTATCAAAAAAAAATAAAATACAAACTATTGCAATGCAAACCAGCGCTAGGCCTAGACAATAAGCTTTCTTTTAAATGCTAACCTTTCAGCCCGCTAACTTTTCGTTCTACGTCATAGGTTAAAATAATGTCGCTAAACAGTTACCAATTCTTAATTTCTGATCTTCGTATTACGAAACTGTGTAAAGAAATTTAGCAAACAAATTAAAAATTTACTTACAATTAATTAAAATATAAATATAATACAAATATAAATATCGCAAATTGTTAATCATAAATAAGAAATAATAATTCATATACACAAATAAATCAATCATTGTGAAATGAAATAAAAATTTTAAAGTGAAAATTGCAAACTTTTAGTTATTCTTATATACATGACGGCATACTGTCTTTATCTACTACAGCAGCTCTAGCAGCACAACTGTTTGAAAGCATAGTTTTCGTATTCCTGACATGAACAGCCCAACTTGGTATGATTTTTAAATTTTACCGTTACATCTATTATCGTTATTTACTTTTTTTTACAGCGTTAACCAAATAACTATGACTATATTATCCGCAATGAGATTTGCTGTATTATAAACAACATAACACAAGTACACGCTTTCATGACACAAGTACACATTGTGGACCTGCACCTTTGTATTGTCGCAAGGTGTAAAAATTAGAATTTTAGGATAAGAACTGTATTGTGACTGAAGTTTCCAATCAACAAAGGTTTAACCACCCAGCACTAAGGTAACATTTACCACCACATCACCATGAGTTTATTATGATTCAAAAACAAAAATTTACAAAAAAAAAAATACTATACTCAAACATCTAAAATTGAGTTCTTCAAAAATACGAAAGAATATGAATATGTTATTCCCATAACATGGCCCTAAATTTTTTTTGTTTCGCTTTTCTTTATGGTTGTTAAAGTTTCTGAACATTTTTTCTATAAATGACGCTTTCTAAAATTTCGTCCTAACAAAAAAACCCGAAAATTCCGAATTCGAGAATTTTCGAAACTGTGGCGAAAGCCAGTGGGGTATTATTGCGCCTTCTTTGTATAGATGTTTGCATATCTATAACCTGAACAGGGTATATTAAGTTTGCCACAAAATTTGTAATCTTCAAAATGTATTGACGAGACCCTATAAAGTGTAAATATATGTATGTATAAAGTATAATATATATAAAGTATATTAACATGGCGATCTGAGTCGATTTAGCCATATCCGTCCGTAGGTCTGTCTGTCTATACGCAAACTAGTCCCTTAGTTTTTAAATATCGATCTGCACACATCCGTTTCTCTCCAAAAAGTTTCTCATTTGTCAGAATCGCCGATATATCTCTATAGGAGCTCTATAGGATACAGCTGTCATGTAAACTGAAACGAACAAACTCAAGTTTTTGTATGAAAAACCATTTTATTTGACGAGATGTCTCGACGAAATTTGACATGGATTTTATCTAAGGTAACGGTACAATCTCTAAAACAAATTAGTCAGATCGGAGCACTATAGCATAAAACTGCCATACATATGTAGCTTCGCTGCAGCCGAAGTTAGGGTTTTTCTTGTTTTTATATTAATTTAATATTTATGTAAACAACTTTTTATATATTTTCGTTTGAAATTATTATTTTTCTTTTAATTTGGTTATTTATCTTTTTATTCAAATAATTCTATTTACATATTAATTTTAATTTATTACTTTGGTATTTATTTGAATTATTTATTGTACTATATTACATTTTTTGTATAATTACTTTAATTATTTATTTTATTTTAGTTATTTGGTTATTTAAAATAATTATAATTTAAAATATTTATTTTATTTGTATTTTTATATTAATTATTATAATACTTTTTTTTACATATTTATATTTTCTGATATTTTTTTTAGTTATTTTAAATTTTATTTTGATATATGATTTTTTTTTTTGTGTTTTGTTTATTATTCTTTTATGTCTGCATTTTATTTCGTATTTATTTATCACAAAATTTATTTAGTTTAATTCTTCTTTCTTTTGCGCATAATTTATTAATTTTTTTTTACTACTCACATACCTGAATACAATATATTCCTTATAATTTTAATTTAATTTAATTTATATTGCCATATTTCATATCTTTCTTTTATAAGTTATTCTTACTGCCAACTTTTGCCTACATTTCACTTAGCTTTTCCTCACTTACATACATATGTATATATGCCTAAAAATATATACTTTCAACGGCTTTTTGTGTTAGCCCCATTCATTAAGCCGACATAACTGCAAGTTGTCTCAGCAATTTATATCTGAGAGTTTTGCCAACGGCTTTACAACTCATTGCACTCTTGTATGTGCACATGTATGTACATATGCATGTGTCTAACTGTGCGCCTGTAATTGAAAGTTAACATCTCAGTATGTGTGTGTTATTACCACGCGTGTATGACGTATCCGCTAGCACTCTCAGTTAGTCAGCTTAGTATTCGTGCAAATAAGAGTACGAGTAGTATAACCGAAGATTTTTATATGTAGTGAGTATGGTACACATATGGTATAACCAAATTCGGTCATAGACGAGTATAATGAACTCTACGGTCAGAATGTCAGTGTAGACTGTTAGTAGTTGCTCGAGTTAATTGGCCATATTCTACTCGTCGTCTCACTAACAACAAATATATTTACCAAATTTGGTTTCGTTACCAGAGTTGACGTCGATTTGTTGATTGAGTGTGCTTAGGCGGATACAGTGAAAAAATCTCGTGCGGGTTAGATGAGAGTGAGACTGTTGGTCAGTTTTTAGAATCAGGTTGAATCGTTGCACAGGTGTTTTGAATTTCTGCAGAAGTGGCTCAAAAGTTGCCATGAGTATTAAAAACTTTTAAGGAGAGCATAAATTGTTATATATTTTTTTTTGTACTTACTCTCTACTAATCCTTATATCGGGCCGGGATGTGAGTAAAACTAATTTGAGTATTCTGAACTTAGCTTTACTGATAGCTTTGGTAGCCCTGACAAAAAAATAATACGCTGTTCTATTTCAGTTGTGTAGTGAAATTTTCAACTTTTTCGCTCTAGGTTCTTAGTATTGTTAGTTCATTAAGTTACAATATTTACCTTTTTTATTTTTTTGTCGAATTTACTGTTATATCTAAAATAAATCTTGCCAGAAGTCGAGTTTGCTGAGCTAGAAATGATTGTAGTCGCTAGGAGCCACACTAAAAATGGCTGGGCTGCAAAAGTACGTGTCCAAATTTCTTTGTAAAGATAAGGTAAATTGTATAATGTTTATCTTTTCTCGATAAATCATTTTGTAACCCACGACTAACGAGTGTTTGCTATAAAATATAGTTTCCTCAACTTCCGAATTATTATTAGTTTTTATTCGTTTTTTCGTTTTCTTAAAACAAATTTATTGTTTAAACCTAAATTTATTTCAAAATTAAAATAATGCGCCAGCATTTCTCAATGAGCGGTCATAACTTTCTTATGATACGTGCAGGGCTTCCCAAAGACTGGTTAATAATTGTGTAGATCAAACCATTTCAGCTAGACACACATCCGGTTTGCTTTAGAAGACAAGTCATACTTACTTATTCATTCTCGATACATCACCATAGGTCACCTTTATCTACATATATACATACATACATACTATATGTATGTAAGTACTTACAACGTTTTTATACATTTTTTATCGCCCTCACATTGGTTAGGGTAGTCCGCAAAGCCTGAATTGCCACTCAATAGCAGCTGTTGCCAGCAGTGCGCATGCCCACCAAATGTCGGTGTAGCGTACCAGCTGTTCGATATGCGCGCAGCAAGGTCGCCTTCGCCATCGTCATCGCCATTGCCATCGTACGCCAGCTCGCTGGCTTTTACGCTCGCTCGTAAGCATTGCAACAGTACAGATTTGCTCATTGACGTGTACGTACGGAATTAGAGTCTCGTGCAATAAGGTTGTGTGAACGCAACATTGGTTCGGTAGCGGCGATGTTCGGACGCGAATTGCTTTGTGCTAATTAACATTTTTGTTTATAAACAAACAAAACCAAACGCCGGGACGCCATATATAAGTGAATTACACCTATTCGCAGGCAGGTGCACCGAAAATAACTGTTTAGATTGCTAAATAAATAAAAATGCAAATGCAATAATGGGCGGCAGCAGGAGTTACAGCGTGAGCAGTAATGGCAGCACGAGCAGCGTCGCCAGCAGCACCAGCGGAAATTATAGTGAATACAGCACCGGCGGCACTGAGGAGCGTTGCAAGGCGACAAAGTTAGTATACAGCCGAATCGCCAGTCAGCGTATAGCAACTGCCATAGGCGGGGCTGGCACAGGAGGCGGAGTAGGAGTAATGGCGCCACAGACCAACCCACCGCAGCAGCAGCAGCCGAAAGTACAACGGGCGCGGTCACAGCGTATTATGTGTCGCTGCTGCCTGTCGGAACAACTGATGGTGACGCGTCAGTCTTTGGGGTCGTGCTCCGAACAGGAGTTGGACGATGAGGAGGCCGCACACTTGGAGTTTGTGCCGTTGGACACCTTGGCTATGGTGGATTTGAGCGACGACAGGTTTACAGCTACGTCGTCGGTGGCCGCTGGTGATTCATACAAGCCAGCGTTGACCAGGACATCCCCGGCCAAAGGCAATAAAGTCAATAGTATGTCAACAGCAACACCAGCCAACAACAACGGCCGTACTGGCAGTAGTGGTAGTAGTAGTACTAGTAGTAAAAGCAGCACTCTGCTAGATTGTTTGAACGCATGTGCGCACATAGGCGCTTCACTGGCGGACAATGAACTGCCTCAGCACATCTGTCTTGACTGCTGCCACACGCTGGAGATGTGCTGCGAGTTCATACGTTGTGTACGGAATGCGGACAAAATTCTACGCAGACGTTGCGCTCTGCCAGTAAAACGGGTGCGACAACAGCACCAGCAACAACAACATTATTGGCAGCAACGCCAAGCAGCGGGCATACCGGCTGCCAGCACTGACGTTTGTGCTGAGGAGGGGCCGGCAGCGAAACGTAGGCGCCGTGGCGAAGAGGTGTGTCCGTGTGTATTGATATTGTATATGTACATACCTACATATGTATGTGTGTGTGTGTGCGTACTCGCGTATTGTAATTGCAACAGAATTACTCGCTTTAAATATATCATTTGCTATTTTTGTTTTGCATTGTGTCTTACTATGAAGTTGTGTAAAGAATATTTTTAATTCAACGTGTGTAAAAAAATCTATTTTATAACAGAAAGTGCCGCAAGAACACCGCTTGAGTGTCGCTCGTGCCGGTGTCAGTGCAAAAAGCCTCGGCAACAACACGCCCAAGTCAATATCCTTGCTGAAGTCGGTGGCGACGTCGGCGTCGGCAGCACTGGCAGTGACGTTAACGCCAAAGTCTTCGTCTGTTGAGAGGGGTAAGTGCGTAAAACCAGCAATATAAATATGTATTACATAGCAAAGTGTTGTATTTGTATGTGTGTGTATGTGTGCCTTGCACGCCGCATGAGTCAGGCTGTGTCATTTGTTTTTGTTTACTTATCGTTTTTGTTTTCTTCGTATGCCTTTTAATCCACAATAAAGGCGAGTGAAAATGTCAGCTGTGTTGATGCAAGTGTTTTTTCGTAAAAGTTCTGTGGATTTTGTGATTTTGGAATTTCAATAAACTTAATTTAATGCAAAAATATTGTGTGCAACTAAGAAAATATACATTTTATAAGATTTTTAGGGAAGTGTGTGTCAATAAATAAAACATGCGTTGCTTATGCAGTGGAGTCGTTAGTGAAGTTGTTGAAGCAGTTGGAAAGCTCGTAAAATAAATGTAAAACATTACTATTTAACTTAAGGCTTTAATATGACGGTTTTTGCCGGCTGAAATGGTTTTTAGAATAAAATGTGAGTGAGTAAGAGTAAATAAAAAATTGTGCTGTTTTAGTGAAATTATGGAAATGCAAGCATATGTACATTGACAGCTGGCATTGTTACTATGGTTGTATGTATGTATGTATGACCAGTATGTACTTTTATTTGATTATATGCTCTATTTTGTACGAAAATTTACACATGCATACATACAAATATGTATACATTTATTTAATTTATTGCAATGCAATAATTTAAAGTAAATGTGAGTATGCACTTACATATGTAAGTAAGTATGTACGTATATATATTTAACTTGCATACATATATGTATGTATGTACATCTGGGTAAATAATAATACGTACGGGTATAAGCAGTTTTTTATCTTGATTTTGACTGGTCAGTTTGTATGACAGCTATATGCTATAGTAGCCCGATTTGAACAATATGTTTCTAGCGTGGCCTTGGACAATAATCTAAGCTCAATTTCGTGAAGATATTTTGTCAAATAAAAAAGTTTTCCAAACAAGAACTTAATTTTGTTCGGTCAGTTTGTATGGCAGCTACATATGTATATGCTATAGTACGATCTGAAAAATATATTCGGAAATTAATTGTTACCTTGAAGAATAATCTTTGTCAAAGGTATAAAAATGTATGGGTGAATTTATCAAAAATAAAACTACCTATGTATATAAGTATAAAATTGATTTACAATTTGAATGCGATTACAAAGATGAAGAGATAAATGTCTCTATGGAGATTTACAATAATAATTGTATGTATGTATCTAATAACGTATGAATGTATATACAAATTTAAGTATGTATATTTATATCGCTACCAAGGCCGTTCAAGACAGTTATGAGACCGGAACTGACACAAAAACATATGCAACGGCAAATGAATCGAAGAGTTTTTATGAATATAGTGATCTTTAGCAATATTTTTATATGTGTATTGATTTTTTTTTCATATTTAATGAATAAACGAGACTTACCTGGAATGTGAGTATTCCAACTGATCTAAAGAGCTTAAATTTGTCGCAATCTTTAAAAAATACTATTTTCCAGTTAGTAATAGACTATAATCTATATTCAAGAACAAAGTTTAACCAATAAGTTAATTTCAATATTAAACAGTTAAAATCGCTTGTTTTTTTTATTTTTTGTCCAGGTTTTGTGACTAGCAGGGTCTTAGATTTGATTCGGCTGCTCTAGTTAAACTTTACTCGAGTTAGTGGGCAAATTGTGGTTATTAACTATACTTGGTTTTGATCTAAAATTAAAATAACTTATTTGCTAATTGAGAACCAAGTTGCATATGCTTTGCACAATACTGTATATACGCTAAACTACAAAGCAGCAGCATTTCCCAAAAATATTTTGCGAATGTTAATATACAATAGAAGACATGCTATTAAAAATATTATATTATGGTCAATTAAAAAAAATTCCATTAATTTTCTAATCTGAAATTTTTATAAAACATCGTATTGAAAAATTTTAAATATTTCAAAAAAAAAGAATTTAAGATTTTGTAAATTTAGTGTTAAAGTTCCACATCAATTAATTTCTTAGATATTTAGGCTTGTCCAGTTTTTTCAAAAACCTTTTGTTTTTTTCGTTTAAAGTACACTTTAGGATTCTAAAAACATAATTCAATTGTTAGAATAGTGAAGAAGATGTTCACTTTCCAATTTGCGTCTTCTGTCCAAACGATGAAATTTTTAACGTGTTTTTCTAGAATTGTTCAGTCCAGTTAAAATTTTAAGCTTCACATTAGTATTATCTAGTACCAAATTATTTTGTTTGTTATTTTTTGCAATTTTTTTTAGAAAAAAATTTAACTTTTTTAGAAGTATTCCATTTTGCGAAAAATTAAAACCAAAAAAGTTATTATTTACTTAGCGCGTCTTATAAGATGAAGGTCTCATTTTTTACTCTGCTTTAGATAGCACAAGTTCTTATAATCAACATACCGTGGTGGTTCACTTGAAAAAGGTGATTCTAAAGAGCGTCCTCCTTTTTATGAAAATGTTAATATAAACATTTTTTTACACTAAAATATCATAAAGTTGAAAAAGCCTGAGAAAAGCCTTCGATTCCCCAAAGTTGGACCTAACCCCTTAAATCATCGATCACATGTTCTTACATTTTTACTTTCTTTGGGAATACCAAAGCTAATTTTCTATCTATCTGATAAAAAGCGCATTGAAGAGTCCTGCTCCAATTACATAAATGCATGCCAGAAGTGTTACATCCGGTTGTATGCATCATTGACTACTGGTAGCAACAAATAATTTTAAAGAATGGCTCAAGAAGTGATATGCCGCACTTAATTAATGAAATACTGGCTACTGGTTTAGCACAGTTCAATGATATTCTTTAGAGTTTGGTGGTGGTTGTTGTGTTCTCTTTAAAGCGCATTCAATTAGCCACCGTACAACAGCAACATTGTAGCAATTATTTTGTGTTTTCCTATACAATTAAGGCATTTAGGCATCCAAGCGTTCAGCAGCTCTAGTTTTTCATCAAAAAAACTTACCTTACTTTCTTACTCATTAGTCAATTTTGGAGGCATCATTATCACACTTCCCTTTCACTATGCGGTTTTTCTTTTCTCTACACTTTTTACTTAAAAGACTACGCTTTATTAAAGATGAAATTATGCTGCATACAGACAAGTAAATAAAAAATAAACGCTTCGCGATTTGCTTGCGTTCCGAGTGGGCTATTGCTACCTGCAGAGTGAATGTTCGATACAATGTGGCAACGGCGCATAGCGGCTCAGAAAGGTTCAGTTATGCAAATTGTATGGCAAGATAATGGCGAACAGCCAAAATGAATGAAAAGAAGTGTCAAACAAATGTTGTGAATTTAAATGAGTTAAGCACTTGCGAAAACTGAATTGAATAGCCATTCTAAAATTAAAGTCCATACAACTTTGCGAAATACAATTATTAAGGCAGGCATTTAGTAAGGGTGAAGTGTAGAGAAAAAAAAAACAAGAAAAAAGTTAACTTTGGCTGCTCGAAACATATAATACCCTTCACAGGTGCATTTCTTATAGCATAAAATGGTACAGAACTTTAACTTTATTTTGGTCGCTCAGTTTGTATGGCAGCTATATGCTATAGTGTTCCGATCTGAATAATTTCTTCGAATATTGTAGCGTTGTCTCGAATAACAATTTATGCCAAATTTCGTGAAGATATCTTGTAAAATAACAAAGTTTTCCATACAAGAACTTGATTTTGGTCGGTCAGTTTGTATGGCAGCCATATGCTATAATGGTCCGATCTGCATAATTCGTTCGGAGATTGTAGCTATGCTTTGCACATACCATTCCGCGGGGCATAGCTAAATCGACTCAACTCATCACGCTGATCATTTATATGTACATATTGTATATATGTATATTTTTATAGGCTTTCCGACGTTTCCTTCTGGGTGCTACAAACTTCGTGATTAATATTCTCTGTTAAGGTTTGTAATAAAATCACTAAAATATGATTCATGCATACATAAGAAATTCTAAAATAAGTACAAAAACTGCATAAAATATACATACTGTCAGCGTCAAAAGAAAGTGTACACCTTTTTCTCATACATTTCACTCTTTATTTCAATATAAAAATATTAAATTTTTTTCAAATCAATTATCATTTATAAATTATTTAATATTGTTCTTACAAAAACTTAACAGCAATCCAAAATAAAATCCACAAGTACAAAACAACACATACAAAACCAAATATATTCAATATTTCACGCGTCAAAACAAAGTGTACAGTTTAAGAAAAATTTAAAAATTCAAAAGCTAATACTTTGTTTGTCTTCCCTTTGCATGAATAACTGCTTCCAACCTCCTTGGCATTGATTCCACTTAGTTGGACACTACTTCCGGGGAAATTTTGGACCACTCCTCTTATAAAATGTCCTTCAGAGAATTTTTACTGGTTATGCTCCTTTTTCTTACTTTCCGGTCCAAATGTTCCCACAGATGCTCAATGGGGTTTAGGTCCGGTGATAGTGGGGGACTATCGAGCTATTTTGGTGTACGGTAAAGCAACCATTCCTTTATTATTCTTGCCGTATGCTTAGGATCGTTATCCTGTTGGAAGATCCAGGATTGATCTAAGCCCAATTTTTCAATACTGGGGAGCAAATTTTCTTTTAAAATGTTTAGATAATTTATTTAGTTCATTGTGCTATCAATCAGCACCAGCCTTTACACTCCACTTGCCGCCATACAACCCCAAACCATCACCGAACCCCCACCATGCTATACAGTGGATGTAATATTTTTCTGTTCAAACTCTTGATTTTTGTTTCTCCAAATTTTAGTACTTTTTTTCTTCCTGAAACCTTCGAACGTGCTTTCGTCAAAAAAAATTACGTTATTCCAGAACGATTTGTCCTTATTTTTATATTTTTCCGGAAATTGCAATCGTCGCTTTTGTTTCTGTGTAGAGATGTGTGGTTTTTTCCTCGGTACCCGGCCATAGAGACCATTGGCATGCAACGCTTGCCTGATCGTGCTGGCATTTAC